AGACACCTATCTACGAGTATGTTTTATGATAGTATAGTAAATGAGCGTAAAAGAGCAAAATAGTGAATCGTCTATTGGAGAAGTAAATAAAAGAACGGAAATGAATGAAGGTGAAAAAAGAAGGGGGTTTTATTTGATTTTGGGGGGGGGGGGGTCCAAGAGGGAGCCTTTAATGGATAAGAGGCTTTTAAAAGAGATAGAGTAACAACCTCTAAAAAACTATCAAAAATATCAAGAGAGTTTATAAAATTAATGGTGGAACATCTTGTCCATCAAATGAACATCTAGGTCATCAAGAGATCCATATCACCCTTTAAAACATGTTTTCATGGTTAGTCTATCCTTACTTTGAACTTGGTATTGAACAAGATGCAATTCGCAAACCCCTTATTAATCAAGCAAGAAATTGAATAAATTGTATGATTTTGCACCTTTTTGCTAATTCCTAGTATTTTGAAGTAACTGTCGTGGGAGGTGTCTAGTAGACAGGGGGGAGGTTATTAGAATGGGGTGACTAATACAAACTTGACATCATAGAAAGGACGTCCAATAGACAAAAAGCGTTTCTTTGAGAGGGGACATCATTTAGATCATTAAATCATATCTGTAAAGTGCTAAATTGATCTACTCAAAAAGGCTCAATGTCTGTCAAAGAAAAACTCTAACCTGTCTAGTTTGTTGTGCAATGGGATCAGATGTATATTCATCTTCCTCTACTCCATCCATACTCCTAAAAAGGAAATTTTGTAAATGTAGTATTGTTTATTACCAAGGAAATAAAATAAATGAGGTTTGACTGTAATAGAGACATCTCTGTAATGTTCACACCTGCACTTGGCTATGTCCTTCCAGTGTGTCTGCATTAACCCTTTAGGTCCTAATATCTGCATACAAATTCTCCAAACTGATCTCTATACATTTCCATACATAACTAGTTGGGAGAATTTGAAAAATGACCACAGTATTTTTTCCTTCGGTGATCATTTCATCAATTCTCATAACTTCTTCTCCTGATTGAGCACTTATAATGTTATGAGAAAATTGATGTTTGTCACTCTTGGCACTTAAAAGGTTAAGGAAGTTTGATTGTAATACAGACACCTCTGTAACTCAGACAGTGTTGGCTCTGTCCCTTGGTATCCATATTAACGAAGAAAGTTTGACTGTGACACAAAACTGGAAATGCAATTGCGTACAAATAATTTGTAAGGAAAAAAGTAAAACATACCACTACTGGTCTAAGAACAAGTTAGCATTTTCATCCACACTTACTCAAACTTGCAAACAGAATACATCTATTTGCCCAGACAAATCAGAGAGCGCACTTTCATTAAAGTTGCCTTAATGAGTAAGGGTTCTAAATGGGATAGTGCTTGGTAGTCTGAGAGACCACTTACCCAGTGAGTGATTCTTGATCACTGAAGTAATTCTTGTCAATGTCAGATGAAGGATCGCTCTCATACTCAATTGGCCCTGCGACAGGAAAAATTTTTTTATAATAATCAGCTGATTAATTTTATCTACATGTAAGTCCATGGACAAAAGAGAGAAGAGTTGCCAATCAACTGCCAACAGTTCAAACACTCACCCTTAGGATTCTCCTAACTTGGACATAGGTAGAGATTAAATCGGAGACATTAAGCTTCATATGTTGGTTTATTGGCACCTTAAATGAGACCACTATGCTAAATCACCACAACATTACTGTTGACTGCCAGACTTTTTTGTAATTCTCAAGTCACATTTAATGTGCAGTTGTAGAAATACAATAGCATTGTAAACACAAGGAAAATAATATCAAATCCCAAACCGGACACTCAGATGCCCACCTTGCTAAAACTTTGCACTGTACTCATGGTACTTTGTCTAGGAAATCTGGAGTGCTATACAGGAGACCAGGAGCTATTTTTTTGGCATACCTGGGGTGTCTCTTGGTGTAGTAAGCAATCATTGTTGGTTTGCTTTTGTTGTGTTGTGTGGGTATTCTTCATTCTCTTTACAATCTTTTTACATATTACGTCATTTGGTGATTGCACTCGTCCACAACACCAAGAAACTACCCATACCTTGGACACTACTCTTAGCTGCATGGGCTGGCCACTGCAACTCTGAGTAGATATTAACAACTGCGTCCTGGCTACTTTTGATTCTCACTTAACGTGGGTTAAACTTCTAGTGAAATACTACTGAGTACTCTTACCTTCATCTGAAAATTGCCACTGGTTCTGTTGAAATTTGTCACCAGAATCATGGGTCACTTCTCCATTCATGTCACGATCTGTTGTTTGATCGTTTTTATCTTCCCATCCCATCCCAAGTGTATCCTCCGTTAAATTCTTTTCTAAATCTTCGAGTTCCATAACTGCTTATTGGATACCAATACACAGAAATTTTCTTCTTAGCAATAAATTGTCACCTTAGTTTTTCAACCGCAAATTTAATCGTCTCTAAAAAACCATTTATAAATTACATGAAGACGTTGTAAGGTAATCCATCAAAGACAACTTTCAAACTGAAATCCTCTGGAGATGACTTCTAAATTGTAGTAACAAGACTCGAGGCCCAGAGGGATAATATAGCTCGCAAACATGTTTGATGCCCTCGCTCCTGAGTCCTGAGGAGAGATATTTGAACCATGGCGATTTCAGCTGGTGTTTGATCCAGAAACCCGCGTTCAAAAAGCTTCACCGAGTCTGTTGGCGTTTCGGATTCAAAAATCTTGAGACTAAACCAAAACAGAACAGTAAATCAGGCAGGTGAACAAGTTCTTTTTCGAAGAATGTCACTTTCTTGTCGATTACCGCCAAACAACAAAACACAGCGGCCATGACAGCGGACAGCTTGGTAACCACGACTTCACGAAAAAGTCTGGGACTAGCGTTACTTTGCAGCCACGCCTCTCGAACAAAGTATGGCGGACGCGCGGAACCGGAAAGTTGCATAAGCACTCACGATATCGTACTTTTGGCTTTACAGTTCGAAATCAAGTATGTTACGACCAGCTATTAATCGATTGGGAACTTTTAATAAATGCCTCGCATTTGTTTGGCCTGCAAGATTTGCCGCGCGTTCACAGGTAAGAGAATCAAGT